AGATGAGTCAAAGTCAAAGTTAGGCCCGGGTATGTCTTTTGATATCGTGCGCACTGCGTACATATACCTTCGAATGTACAATCACAATCTACAGGCCCATCTATAAGATTCTACAAGTCCATCTATAATCTACCCACATCTATAATTCTGCGCTTGCCTACACAGTCACTGACACTGCGTCGTAGACTGATAATAGGTATATTTACGCATCACATCTAACATCTCCCAAACGACGTCAACTCCACTGATATTTTCCTGACGGCTCTACAAATCACTAATCACTCGTTTATCAGTTCCAACGGCCAATGTAAAAGCAGAAACACAATTCACTATGCAGAAAAAATATTCCTGCCATGCAGGTGAGTCAAGTTATCAAATCTAGGAAAACGGCTGATACTCACGCAAGCCCCCACAGGGCAGACCTGGCAATCTAGTTCACTATCGCAAAAGAAGGGACATTTTGCGGTGTTCGCGTCAATGGGCGTAGCGGAGATTGATGATGCTGCGACGGCGAGGATGATTGCAAGGGAGAAACGCATCGTGTGTGAGGATGTGGTATAGGATTTGAAGGGTTAGTAGGAAGACATCCTTACTTTTATATGCTGGATAACGAACGTTCTTTATCGTGTTAGGAGGAACCTGTCCACCGGAATCCTCTTATCAGCCTCGGGTCCAAGCTTTGAAGCTTGCCGCATTCAACTACATGATATCTGCAACGCCAGCAGGCAGGGTCTTTCGGCAATTAGTCTAGAGCGCCCCTCCGCCGGTGAATGTTATCATCGAGTCCTAGTACCCCCATGCGTCATGATTGAAGAGAGGACATTTCGATCCCAGAATATCCGTCTCTGCGAACATCCAAACCCCATCTGCGCCAGCACAGCCATCGTTCCCATGCACATATATTATATAGATAGTTGATTCTTCTTCCTCGCCAGACCCTATTCCTCATACCCCTCGCCTCCCGATACCCCCAGCGTTTATGGACCAGCCACCACAGTCCATAATTTAGGCTCTTCAGGCTACCATTAACACGCGCTTAACGACGCTCGCTATCAAACTTCGTCCTCGCCTCCATTCATAGCAAAGTTTTCTCCTCCTCCACTCTTCAACATAGTACCAAATTTCGTGTGGTATCCGATGATTTGGCGAACAACCGGTCTTTATCTGCACAAAGAGGGATTGTGCTCTGCTGAAGGTTGTCTTTCCTTTTACTAATGCTCGATTTCTTTAATTACAGTGAACGTGAACAGTGAGTCCGTGTTGTCACCGTTTTTTGTGTGTATGCCTGATGGTGTAGACTGGCATTTTCGGTGGTATCGGAGAATACCACCAAACTGAGAGCGTCCAGCGCATTACTCCGTCCGATATCAGATATTCATGATACCAAGCGCTGTTTCAAGCTGGGTAACTTGATGCTGTCCTCGTGCCCAAGAAAGAAGGGTACGTTTTTACTCGAGGCGCGAGTGTATTCGCTGACTGGCGCTAGTACGCTTCGCAGAGGGTGCAAGCGCCATGTGTCGAGATCTCGACATTGATCTACGGCGTATAAGTCAAGTTGGAGCATGCTGTTAGTTGACTTGTTGATATGTCTCATGCATAGTTGGCTGTTTTATAATCGTCTGGATGACGAAGAGCTTAAATTTCTTGGAATACGCTAGCCGAGCAACTTTACTGCGCGCTCGTGGTCGTGATGAGGAATTCGACGCATTCCGGAAGACTCGCAGAGTTGTAGCTCGTGGGTGGGTGCGTTTTCAACCCTTTGATGTCGTGCGCATTTAGACAACCTGTAGCTAGATCTATTTCACCCAAGGTGCCTGAACAACCGCAACTGCAGCCGCCTCGCCGCATGAATCGAGGTGCTCATGGTGGGTATGGTAATCTGCTTGGAGCATCTTTCCAGATACACGGCACGTCCCTCTCCTTCCAAGGAGATGCTGGAGTAGGGGCCCCTAGGGGTGTAGGCAAGGCGACTGTAGTGAGCTGAGCAGCGTGAGAGAGCAACTCATCTTGTTCCAGAGCAGTCCCAGTCAGAGAGCAGCGAGAACCCACACCAATGCCTTGGAAGAAATAGATGCGGTGTCGTTTAGACGAGTCAAAAGTCGAAGCTAGGCCCAGGCATGTTTTTTGGCAGTCATCGGTATCGTGCGTACACGCTTAAACCAGCTTTCCCGCTCATAGTCACATCGTGCCTACCTAGAGTTGTTTAAAAAAACAATCAAACGTCTAAAGTCAAGATCTGAGTATGTTTTTATTGGGTCCATCGTACATTGTACGATCTACAAGTCGGTGTACGGTGATTCAGCAGGAGCAACAGTCACTGAAACTGTGTCGTGGACTGATCAGCATGCTTCTCAGTAGGATTCTTTTGGTGTCCTTACACATCATATCCAAATTTCCCAATCGAACAAAAATGACACCACCGATGTTTTCCTGGCGGTGGCGCGTTGATCAACTCTACGAAGGACTAGTAACGCATGCGTCAGTGCCAACGGCCTTACTGCACCAATGTGAAAGAAAAACACGACTCACGTGCAGATGGAATTAGCGGTGTCCTATGCAGGTGAGTTACTGGCATGTCATTAAAGTCCGAACCCAGGAAAACTACTGTACTCACGCATACCGGCAAACCGCAGCCATCGCAATCTATATTATTGGCACAAAAAGAAGGACATTCAAGGACTTCAATCACATCAGCGGGAGTGGCGAAGATTGATGATACTAAAGCAGCAATGACGGCGAGGACGAAACGCATTGTTTATGACCCGTGTAATAGGGATAAAATAATTCTTAGGAATGGTAGGAAGACGGCTGGCTTTTATATGTTGCACATTGTGCTTCTTGCGTACGTGGTTGTGCGTTCAAACGGATGCATATTTGGAATGCCAGCAGTTCTAGGTCTATTAGCAATTTGATGTGGAACTACTGAACATCCATGTTTTCAATCAGCTTGTTGACTCGGTACCAGGAGCACTTGACTTATCTCAGAGTAAGGCTGTTTTCTGGTTCCCCAGTGTTCTTCAAGCGTCAGATCGATCCGTCTTGCATTTAAGTGCTGTCTGCTTGTTTCGCATTTTTGGCGAATCAAAGCTTTTGGGTACGAAATGCACCTGGTTTGCCAATAAGTAAGCCTAACAAGGCTTGCTGCGTAAATACCTAATACCGGCGATAAATATTGCCTCGAATATTTCGAGTTTGGTCCTCTCCTTGTCTCGTCAGAACGCCCCTACAAAGCGGTTTATATGTTGTACAAATGTGAAGAAAATATTTGAAATTTAAACTGACGTACACGCATCACCAAAAGTCCAGAAAACGGGTATCGCCTTATTAGGTTAACATCAGCTGTCGACCCAGGATCAAAAGCACTCAACATCTCGGAGTAAAAATGTATTCTTATTGAGGTGATGGCCCCTGGCGTTCTTCAAGCGTCAGACCGGTCAGTCTTGCGCTTAACTTGACCAGTGCAAACGTGTGCGATCTCATCACGGTGGAGTGGCGATGATGTCAGAGTCGCAAGTACTGTCCGTTGGCGGGCATGTCCCAAGCGAGACTCGTAACCAGTCTCTCTGAGATGTTGAGTGCTTGACGTAGTAGTAAGACTGTTCGATCTCGGAGTGTGAAGCGAAGAGTTTGAAATTCGCCACATGCCGGTTGCCGCTTTGCATCTAGCTTCGTCTATCGCACAATCATTGAAGTTAGACCAATAATGGTTGGGTTGGGCCGAGCGTCAGCTCGGTTCTGGCTGATTGAATGACCATTATGACTGTGGAGCTACGAGGTTATCAATGATAGGAACGGATAATCAAATACGGACGTGTAAAATATTGAAGAACGGTCAATATATATGCTAAAAATTAAACTGATCCTGGGTGCTGCAATGAAGGGAATCGAGAACAAGAAGGAAAGGCTTACCGCTCAGCCGGATGTGTGGTGCCGGTTCCTTCCGAGCACTTTCACGTTGCTCACGAGTATCAGCTAAGCTCCATCATCGACATCGATCTTAGCCTTCTCATCCCCGTCTTCGTTGCACCCCACCGAACGCAATATACGCACCATCGATTAATGCTGTGAACTCTTTCCACGCCGCTGCTGCGCTAGCGTTACCCGAAGAACCAGTGACGATGCGAGTGCCGTCTGGCGAGAACGAGACCCAGTTAACTGAATCACCCAGGTAGTATGTCCCCTAAGCACGGTATGAACAGTCTCTCAGTTCGTATAACGTCCGAATACTACAGGAAGAATATTCGGATATCGTGCAGAACGCTTTCTCGATAGCGGAGAGTTGGCAGGCGAGAATGGGAGTGCTGATACATACAGCTTTGACGTGCTGTGTAAAATCATACCGCATACTGCCGAAGACTTGAATGAACCTCTGTACGCCCATCGCAGTCGACGAGACATCTTTGAATTCGGACTGGCCCTGTGGTTGCGCATGAGCACTCAGATGACGAAGACTTCACCAACTCTCCCAACTCCCGGTCTAAGATCCAAGTGCATTATCCTTCACCCTCTGTGCACAACCAAGACCCGCTCTATCGTCTGTGCAGATGACGAAGGCGTCTCAGAGATCACCGATGCTTATGAAGAGGAAGAAGAGTACGATTTCTACACACGCCAATTCGATCGTCATCGAACAAGTATGGTTCAACGAGGAAGAATTTATCTATTCCCAGCCTTCCTTTGTACCGGCCAAAAAACATTCACCCCATCTCACTATCAGTCCCAAAAACACCCATGAACGGGATGTACCTCCCATGCGCAAGCACCGACTCCGACACCCCACGGTCGTCTTTTGATTCTTTTCGAGCAGCCATTCCCACTCCTCCTCGAGTGTGCCTATCCAAATCCTGTTGAACGTTGTTGAGAAACAATCAAACTAAAAAGTCAAGACCTAGGTGTATTTTTATTGGGTCCATCATGTGCATATGCTTACAATTCTACGATCTAAAGGCTCAGGCCCGTCTGCAAAGGAGCAACAGTCACGGACGCTGATCTGCACGGCAATAGGTGTTCTTGCATGCCATATCTAACATTTCCCAATCTAACGAAAATAACGCCAACTCCACCTATGTTTTCCTGACGGCTCTACAAATCACTGATAATTCTCGTGTCAGTGCCAACGGCCACACGATACGAAAGCAGAAACGCGACTCACTGTGCAGAAAGGAAATTTCTGCCATGTAGGTCAGTCATATTATCAAATCCAGGAAAACGACTGATACTCACGCAAAGCCCCCAAGTGCAGTCTTTGCAATTTATGTCAATCCAGCAAAAGAGGGGACATCTCTGGGCGCTAGCGTCGATGGGCGTTGCAGATATTGACGATGCAGCGATGGCGAGGACGATTGCAAAGGAGAAACGCATCGTGTGTGAGGATGTGATATGGGGTCAAATAAGCCTGAAGGGTTGGTAGGGAGACGCTGACACCTTGCTTTTATTTGCTGGATAATGCCCTTTATGATGTTGGGAAGAACTTATCCCCTTACTGGCTTCGAATGTCCAAGCTTTGAAGGTCTCCTGAATTTTCTTGCGTGGTTGTGCGGCATTCGACCAC